TACAGTAAGTTCAATCCATTAGCTACCTATTTGACTTCCATCTGCAACGTATGTTCTCGAAAACTTTCTTGCGCGCGTAGTTTATTAATTATTATGAATATTATGATGTCAACGAGTCTATATTTATTTTTATACATGTATATAATTTCTATGACTATATTTTCATCAGATTGGTTTTATTATATTTTAGATCTGTACGTATTTTTGGATTCGTTGATATCACGGTAAACTGTTTACGATCTATGCATGCAATTTAGTCGTATATATAGATAATTGTACAAAAGAATCGGTGTTAAGTCAATTTTAATTACAATAATACTAAAAAGTGTTCTAAACGTATATTTTATAACATCTTATTGCTCTTTGTTTCTATACAATAGATCAATGATTAATGTAGTATGAATATAATATTATTTTTGTGTAATGACCTTTTTTTAATTTTCTGAACATAGCGATGATCATAATGGATATTATGAATCGTTAAATCATCGAAGTTAATGATTATTATACCTACACCATAATATTTTATGTATCTTTACTCGAAATGTTCTACTATTAACGAAGTCTTAAAAAAATAACATTTTTAAATTTATCTAAAATATAATTTAAATATCTATAATTCATATTTATTTTGTTGTATTAATTACATTTTAAGTAAAAATTAAAAATAGTGATAATTAAATACGACTATTAACTTAAGAAATAATTTGTAAACATATCATAATATGTGATAAAAACAAATAATTGTATTATATATATAGATAAATATCTGAAAGAATATTATAATATGTAAACGATTTTATATTTATTTGTATTTAGGAGTTAGGCGTCTATTATCAAATACGTAGATACATTTTTGATAATTTTATATTAATATGTAATATAAAAATTATGTTGATATGAAATTTTTAATTATTCATAGTTTGCATAAAAAAAAAAAATGAATGTATAAAAAGAATATTAAAGTGTTAAACCCAATTGTACAAGTTATTGAGAAAAAAAATTCGCTGAATTTTATTTAGATAGGTACCTAATCCATAAATTTTATCAAACGTAAAAACAAGTTCCGGAAAAAGTTGTTTTGTAAATGATGAATAATATTATTTCATATAGGCTTGGCCGGTTTACAATATGAGCATAGACTTCAGGTCATATACCTCTTCCATTAAAATTTCAAGTTCTTACTTCGATTAAATATTTTTGAATATTGCAAAACTACTCATGGATTATTTTATATAAACAATTTTTATTTTATATTATAATTCGTATAGTAAACGTTTTCATTTAATAGAAATTTTATTTATGTAAAATAAATTTTGAATTCCAACAATATAATCTTGCAATACATTATAATATTATAATCAATAAATTGTTATTATTTATGTGATTCTACGAGTGAGAAAAGCTTCCAACTATAATAATATTAACCTGTAGACTATAGTTAGTGTTAAATATAGAATATATAGTTTTTGTTTGTGAGACTTTATTTTTTTCAAACTAGATTCAAATATTATAAATAGTTATTTAGATTTTGAATGGAACAATTGTGTTTTATAATACATTATATAGATATGTCTTGTTTTAAGTATTTTACTTTGTTTTGGTGTCCATCATTGTTCATTACCCTTTTTAGTAGTAAAACTACTTAATTATTTAATTTTAATAGTGGTTTTTGATATAAAATTGGAATTTTGAGGAATCAAAAATAAAAAATTAAACACACTTTTCTTAATAGTTGGAAAAACAAAAATATTTTGGCAACCATAATCCCTATAAACTCGTTGTACTCCTATTGCAGCGTTCAGGCATATAAATGATATAATTATCAAAATAATTTGTTTATTTTTGATAGGCGCTTTAAATGTTTTTCTAAAAATGTTGATAAACATTTTGTGTTTGGTTAAAAAGCTTGCAAATTAAGTTAAACTTTATTCTTGATGAAATTAAAAAACAAATTTAGCGTAAAACTACTGTACATTACAAAGGAACTGAAATTCAAGTTTTGAAATATTTTAAAATTATATTATTTAAATAATTAAATGTATAATAACAATTAAACGTTATAAAACGATTTTTATTATTTTTCCAAAAATATTAACTGTAAAAGCTTGAAACATTCATAATTTCATAATGAAATCATATTTTTCCATACACGATGGAATTTTCAAAATCTTTAGACTAATTTTAAGTGATTTTATAGATATTTTATAGAAAATTTTTTTAATTTTGATTAAATAATATTAAGCCAAGTCAAAAAATTTGAAAATTTAATACAAGGTTCCCGAGAAGTTTTTCATAATTAAATATCAAAATTATATAATTTAAAAAATATAACTCTTAAGAAGCATTTGAGTTTAAATTTTGATAAAATTCATCAAAAGTAAAAAATTTGAATATGATTTATTTACATTTGAAAATTTATTAAATTTCCAAATTTAATTGCTGACAAGTAGGGCTCAGAAGTTATTGCATTAGTGTTATTTTTAGCTATTAGATTGACACGGTACGATTTATTGCTAAGTAAGCTTTTACAACTATAAAAAAAAAAATAAAAATATTAAAAGTTTATTGTGCGTATTTTTGCATACTAAGTGATTTTATTGTTTTAAAAGCATATTTTTCAATTTTACCTTTTTTTTTTAGAGTATATTTGATGATTAATGTTTTATTTAGAATTCAGTTTGAAAATTTGATGATAAAAAAAATAAATATTTTACGTATAATTATTTTGAGGGTTTTCATTAGATATTATTGTATTTTGATTTTAGATTCCCTATTTGGTATACAATTTTCAATTTTTATTAATTAGTACAAATTATAAAGTATAAAAATATTTATATTTATGGAAATTGTGAGTAGAAAAAATAAGTAAATATTTATACTATTATAAACGTATAAGTACATGTATATTTAGTACTTTCTAAGTTATTAAGTTCCGAGTCCTATTTATAAAGCTTGAAAATCATCAAAAAAGGTTTTCCAACAGACTCAAAACATTTAATATATTTACAATTTTATTTTTCATTTACATCGATATTTCAAGTTCAAATTTTTACAAAACTAGTTGTTTGAACGAAAAAGAACAATTTAAATTATTTAGTTGTAATTCTAAAATATTATTCGTAAGGATTAAACATTTTTTACCTTTACATTCATCAATTAATTTTATATTGGAATGGTGTTTTTAAGATATTGTACAATTTATATTGCATTACTAATATAAAATATTTTTAGATAAATAGGCTGACTGATCTTCTCTACTTAAAATCTTTTTCCGAATGGTACCTATATACTATATGGTATATCATTGATTTAAAATTAAACACATACATTACTGTGCTCTATGTCCAATACTCAATGAAAAAGTATACTTGAAATATATGATACAGCAATGTATTATGCAACTACCTCAGTTTTTTACCTCTGAATTTAAATTAGACTAAAAAAATATCATTCATTTATTGGTTTCAAAATGTATAAGAAGTAGGTATCAATTTCTAAATAAACGAAGCCATACAAACACAATAGTATATTATTATAGTTATCAGTTTTCATAAAAACATTGATAATTGTATAAATGTATAATATATATTTATACAGAATGAAACAGATACTTAGCAATTGAGAAATTTATTAATTTTTATAAAATTTTTATTTAATTTATTATTTTTTGCGTTTTAGGAGAATTTCAGGTCAAAAAAGTATTTTATAATAAACTATTGGTAACAATATATTTTAATACGAGATCAGAATTATCTTTTTATGCATGAAATATATCTTGGAAAAATTCATAATAATTTTCACATTCAGTATGGAGTGTTTAGTAGGTACTATTGCGTTATGTGAAATTAAAATATTAAAAAAAAATATTAGACTTCAAATGTAAATTACAAGTTACAGCCATGCTCATGACACCTGTATGAAAAATGTGTTTTGTTGATCACGATTTTAATTTCTATTCGCTTAACAAAAAAAATATTTTTTTTTTTTTGTTAAATTAATTACGTTTAATGCGTGATATATTGAGTGTTTTTTTTAGAAAACTATTTGTATGTTAAAAAACACGTTTACTATATTATGTACGAATACATGCATTATATTTAATAATCATCATTATTATTATGGCAAACATAGATTATTATAATAATATTATAATAAAATAAAATAAAGTAATTTTGTCGTGATTCGTACAATACATCATATCGTATATAAATATAAAGTACTTGAGAAGACTGCAGTGGCCGAAAACAGTCGGACCATAATATTCACCATAGCAAGACAGTACTATACAAATACAATACTGTACATCATTGTTGTTATCATTGGGCAACATACCTCGGTAGTCAGTTTGTATCACCGATAGTCGTCATCGGGGTAGTTTTCCCGCGTACAATACGGTTTTAGCCGGCGTATGTATATAACATTCGTACTATATATTTATTATTATTTATTTTTTTTTTTTTATTGTTCTCTTACGCATTTATAACGTGTGCGCGTACCTCTACACGGTTCTATACGAATACGCGTTATTTCATATCGCTTTTCTTATTCTCTTTCTATACCCTCTCTCCCACGTACACACACACACTCACTCACTCTCTTTCTCTTTTCTGTCTTTCTTATTATATCTCTTACTCGGTAATCGGACCGGCGCGGAGCTGAGGAGCAAGGGCGAAGTATGTCAACACCGTGTAAACGGGGCGTGGGTCCTCGTCTCGCGTGTATACGCGTATATCGTGTGTGTTAGCGTGCGTGCGTGTGTGTGTACAGGTATAAATGTATAATACGCGCATAAGTAGATATAGGTGGTATAAGATATACGCGTTGGACCGAGTAAAATATACCTATACATAAAAATAATTTAATATTATACAACATCAGCTGTTTGGCTATCCTGGCAGGTACTACCACCGCCGGCGGCGCGGCGTCGACAAACTGGTTTTCGATCCGTCTCTCTGTTTTTGTTTTCCCTTCGGCGCGCCGACGAGCTCTGAACGAGTGAGCACTGAGCAGTACTACGTCGAGTTTAGTGTTTGAAAGTTTGTCGCCGTCGTGTCGCGTCTTGGCGTGTGCCTGACCGGCAGTTGTTGTTTTCTCCAGTGATTTTGTCCGTTTCCGTTTTAAATAGTACGACGCCGTTTTTTTTCGGATCAAACGAGCCCGTGCCATAATGTGAATCCTGTGGATCTGCTCGGCGGCAAGCAGATCACGAGGATACTTCATTGCCCGGACCAACGCTACATTGCCGCCGAACCCATTTGGACTTAAACGACATAAGAAACTGGTTGGTACATCACTTAAAGTTTAAATTGTTATGTTTAAAACTTCAATTCGTCGTCGTTTTCAAACTTATATGCGTTATCCCAAAATCGTATCGGCATCTGTGTTCTCATAGCTATATTAATAATTTAATGTAATATGACTAATATGTTACATTTTAGAACTGATAAGATTTTTTTGAAATGCATACGTTGTATACTGTATAGCAAGAATCTAAATGGAAAACAAATATAGGTTTTTAGAGTTTAGAAATAAAGGATATTAATTATTTACAATTACATTTTGTTTTTTAATATTTTAAATTAAAATGGAATCTTAAATTTTCAAATTTATGAACAATCAGGTTAAATGTATACTAAATTAATTTTAATAACCAAATTAAAGTATTCTCAAGATAATATGATGAATGAAATAATAAAATCATTACATAGGTGGTACTGCAGAGAGAAGGGAAGGAATTGTATCATATTTTAATACACAACTTCGTAGTATAAATACCGATAAACATTTCCAATCCTTTAATTTAAAGTTGAATTTTAAACGTTATTTTAGAGCTTAAAATGTATAGAATTTCACTTTTTTATTATGTTTGTGAAACGTAAATCATATGATGTATATTACTTTGGAATAGTGGTCGTTTTATTAAGGAAAGTTTAAAAATATATAAATATATATTTTTTTGTTTACTTTACACGTCTTGTTTTTATAAAGCCGACTCCGACTTTCATACACAACATACGTGATACATACCAAATAGTCGTACTGGTTATTACGCTTATTATAAATGCCTTTTATCATCCAAGTATATATTATTATTCTATTAACCCAACCGGTTATCCATAAAAACGAAACCTTTCTGAAGAAAAAAATAGTTCAGAATGAGTATTCATTGTGTTTTAAATATGTATTTACGCGCAGAACAGTAATAATTATGTAAAATGTAAAGAACTGTATCAAAATATCACAAATACGTTGTTTTTAAATCGAAATATTAATATGTATTATATAATAACTACATGTGTAAGTGGTTGAATATTATTATATCGCGACATAATGTATTATTTGTATGCTCGTTAGTTTTAACTCGTAATTTACAAACTTTAAATTCTTTTAATATTATTTTTATTATCATAACACCTTTTTTCCATATTGCTATTTCATTTCTTAACTAAAAAAAAAAATTTTAACCAGTTATCTAATTGATTTTAAGCCAATCCGCAGGTGTCAAGGTCCGATGGGTATTGTTAGTATAATATATTATGTAAAAAGAACGGTTGAGACTAAACTGACAATATATTCGCTGTGAATGCGTTTTGACGGTTAAAAAACGGACAAACTAGACGGGACACGTGTTCAAATTAACTACTTGCACGGTAAAGTGTTTCCTGCAATTATTTTATTATTATTATTATTTTTCGGGTTTTCGTTTTGTCTCCAAGGAACTCTGTTTGAGAAATTATACTATGCTGTCAGTTATAATATAATGACATCATTGTTTTTGTAACGTACATAAATAATACACATCATCCACGTGTATTTAAAGTTCCCATATAAACCTATAGCTGTATACTAGTGTAGTATATAAATTCAATAAGTATTATTGCTATATTATCGAACCCTTTTTCTAGTGCGAAATTTTTATCTTAATCATATTTACCTATCTAGAAAAAATAAATTCTCATAATCTACAAACGTATAAAAGTAGAAATATACACTTTGAGTCTTATGGTTTAAAAAGAAAACGTAGTAATGTATTATAAGAATCAACTAAAAAGAAAAAAAACGACTGTTATTGGTTTTAAACAAAAAGCGAACGCTGCCGACTAGTACGTGTTTAAAAAAAGTTTTTTATTGTCGGCTGTAAAAAACTGATTACTTTGGCTCTTTTATGGGCTATATATTGTTTTTTTTTTTTTTTTTGAGGAAGTTTATCACAGCACAGCAAATACTATGAACTCGTAGTGGTATAATATTATAAAAATAGTCAACATGAAATGCGACTTTGCGAGTAATAATTTGCTTCCTTTTCTTGAGAATGTTAATATATTATTATTACTATACGCTTTTGCTGTTGAGAGAGATTTCACTGAGTAATACGATATTATTTAAAATACAGTCTCTAAAATATAAGCTAAATTTGACGTGATTTCGGTTTTGATCATGCTAAATATAGGTTAACGAGTTTTCTCCTATTTAATGGCTCGTGTATTAATTGTACCTATATGAAAAAAATCTAGATGTAGCAAACATATTATATTAATATTATAATAACGCACGGCCTCTTGCTCTATATTTTGTATATAGATATTTTAAATTAATATCATGTATCCGTAACGTAATAAAATGTTTTAGATTATAGCTTGGTAATGATTTATTAAATGTAATACTTATTTTTATTAATAAATTCGTTATGAATTATATCTGTTGTAGCTTAAAAAGTTCAAATAAACTATAAAACTTGCATTCAAAATATTCTAACATTACAAACCTTTTTTTGTAATTTAAAATAAAAATATAAACTAGAACCTAAATACATTATTAAGGAGCACATAATATGATGTTATATTTAATATAAAATTAAAATTTGATATTACAGTAGAAACTCTTGTTTATAATTAAATGTACCTATTTGATAAAATAATTTTAGAAATGTTATCTATTTATTGTAATTATTTTAAATTTAATAATTTTATTATTAGATAAATAATATATATTATTAAAATATTCTATAACTTTATGGCGTTTTTGTTTATATTTCATAATTAGTTGTTTTTTCCATTTAGAATTATTCTACCTTTTCTACGAATTTCTTGAAAACAACAAAGAAGTAAAATTACATTATGTTATTCATGTTGGTAATTATGTAATTTTTCTTTATTTTTTAAATCGTATAAAAGTTATTAATTGAAATTTTAAATATAGTAATCTGTATTCTGTAACTCTGTACTCATTAATCTGAGTGAAAATACTGTAGGTATTCTCTTAATTAATATTGTTTGTAAATTATATTCTACACATTAAATTGGTTCAACGAAAAAATAATAAAAGCTATTTTAGTTTATTTTATTTTGCACAATTCTTTTGTTAATTCTTTTGCGTTTTTATAAAATAAAATATAAGTAAAAATACTAAAAAATAATTCAATTTTAATAACATTAAAAATGTTGTTTTAAATAATTTACGTTTGTTTAAAATTTTCTTATCAGGTGGTACTGTTAAGTGCCTACACATAAATGCAAAATTTCTTTGTTATATTATAGTATTCTAATATATGTCATCAAGCTAACTTATTATACACATTAAAACTATATAGATTTTAAATAATAAAAATAATAAATAATATTCTCAGTATAACACGAAATTATATTAATTGTATTGAATTAAGAGGTGTACTCTATATGAAGTACAATAATTGTAGATTAAATAAAGAAATGCATAGGACTTCTTATTAGGAAAAATAAGTGGAAAACATCATAATTGAAGGAAAAATTATAGGAAAGAAATCAGAGAGAAAAAGACTAACCCGCTTTATATGCAACAAATTATGTTGGTAGTAGTAAAAGGCTTATGAAAAATAAGAGAAGTTGCTAAGGATAGAAAATAATGGAAAAACATTTCATAAGTCATAATTAACCTAAATTAATCTAAAAATATTAAGAGTATTTTATGTCTTTTTAAATTAAAGGAATACTCTATACATTTTTCTATAGTTAATCTGTATTACCATTGATTACATATAATCAATGGTATTAATTATACCTACACTGACTAAAACTAAAGATTAAAAAAATATATTAAGTATTATTTATTACCAATTTTGAAATTTTTTTTTAATATTATGATATACTAGATTGATGTCATTATTTTCTTCAATGTATTGACCTTTGATTCTATTATTATGGGATGAACAATTTAATCATAATTTATAATATTACTTTTAATTTTTAACAATGGATTTCTAATTATAACTTACATGAGAAATGTTCACAGACGAATGAACAGATAAATAAAGGGATAGGTAGGTAACAATAAAATGAAAGTTAGGTTAGGTCAATGAAATAGGTAAATGCATTAACAATACTCTGTTTAATAATAATACAATATTATTTTTAATAGTTGAATAAATGAAGCTGTTTTTTTTTTAAAGCTAAACATTTTAATAGCTAAACTATTTGTATAGTACTTTAGTATTTAAAATATAATAAGTTGTATAAATTATTTACGTACAAACATAATAAAATAATAATTTAAATTAAAAATGTAGAGAATATTAAAAAAGCAAATTAAAAAATTAAAAATTATTTACATTTCAAAACATGTCGATTAGTTTGTTTAATTTGATTATTTTACAACATAATATAACTTAATGTTTTTACTATATTTTTTATATATATTTGTTCTATTCTGTAAAAATAATTTAACATAATATTTTATCATAATAATTTATTTATTGATAATGTTTGAAATTAAAAATAATTAACAATGAGTATGAAATCTTAATGTGTTACTACTCTTTCTCGATATAATATTGGAATAAAATGCAACGAAAGAAAAACTGTAATTATTAGGTGTGTGATACAAAACATGGATTTTTGAAAAAAATAGAAAATTACACAATGAGTAAAACTAAAAATATAGGTAGGTAGGTAGGTACTTAATTTCATTTTGAAAGAATTAGAAACTTGAGTTAACATTCTGCCAGATTTTATAGCTTCGAAAAGTCATATATTTTGTTCTCGTTTGTTGACTTAAAATTATTGTATTTTAAACGCATACAAAAAACGTAAAAAAAAATATTTTTAATATTGTTTTTTGTCAACAACGTCAAGTACTATGGGTGTGAGATTATCATGCATAATATGCTTGACTGTCTTGACTATATTATTACAGATACTTCAGAAACTGAAGAAAACGAAAAACGTTGCAATATAATATTATAGTGTAATAAAACTATAAAAGGATAAACGTTACGTGGTTAAAAAATGGTTTTACATTAAATTACGTTAAATGGATCATCTCTTATAACTTCCATTTAATATTTAAAAAATATTATATAATATATTTAGTTCATAATGAGAGGGAATAGTTATTCGAATTGTTTTATCTGAAATACGTTTTTGGTTGAAATCATATTTTACGATAATAGTTAAGCATGGGTTTTTAGTAATTTACATAATTTAGGATAATCACTGAAATATTTGTTAATTTTACTAAAAACTGTGATAATTTTATGGATTTATATATTTCTATGATACCATTTTTAGAGTGTATTTTTTAACGTAACAGTATTATTTATATAGCTGTATAGTTAAAATTTATTTTATGAAATAACAGTTTAAATTTAAGATAATTATTAATTAACATGTTAATTTCGAAGTAAAAACTTCAAGGACATATTTTCAAGGGAAGGGTAGTTATTTCTTGGCAAAGTGACTTGTAACTTTCTGGACTAAATATCATTAAATGCATATAAAATTACACTTAGATATAAATATATAAATAGTCCTTGAAATTTAAAAGTAAAAGAATAAAATATAACTAGTTAAACATTAGGTACTTACATAAAACACTAAATGCTAATGTCATGTTAAATTAGAAAATTGTTTTAATTATACTACATAGGTACTATTTCAAATGCGAACGTATTTCGTTAGTATTATTTAATAAAAACAATCAATAAAATAAAATATGTATCATGTAATAATATAAGATTATAGCGAACACAGTTAGTACAAATAATATTGCATATGTCATTTAAATATAATTTATCTATATTTTATTTATGTACAATAATATGCTGACTATTTAATTTATACATATTTTATAATCAATGTTTATATTTTAAAATTGGAAACCAATAAATCTAAATAAATATAACATTTTGTTATTATAACAATAGCCAATAAATCTGTACAGTGTTTAATTATGTTATTAAAATATTATTTATGTAGTTACTTATGTTACTTGTTACTTAATATAAACGTCATGCTTAGTAATTTGGCACAAAATTCAAACATAATAAATTTACAAACCATAAATGGTGATTTTAATTTGAAAAATTATTTAATGTTTTTACTAGAGAAAAAACAATACATCAAATTAATTAAATGAGTTGATTTATTTACCTGTTTATCGAACAGGTGATTCCATGAAATAAATTTAAAAGTCAAAATTGAATAAAATACCTAATGTATAAAATTTACTTAATCGATTTTACGTTGATTATAAAAATTTTTAGAAACCGAACGCATAATCTACATATTATACAGAGTACAATAGGCATAACTAATAGATATCTGGTATAATTTACTTATTATTTTATTCTGATAAATGTAGGTATTTACATTTTTTTCATTTTAATAAAATTATAATACACAATATTTAGCACTAAAAAAAATTAACAATATTGATAAGAATACAAGTTTTACTTATAATTAATAATTACATGGTTAGTTAATTGCATTTTTTAGTTTTAAATGTTACACCCTGTTGTATACTCGTATATTATACAGAAATAAAAATAATATCTTTCATTGTATCTAATGCATATTTATATATAATATGATATAACTATATAAGATGCGTAGGCCTAATGTTATACACTCAGTCGAACAATTACCCGGCAAAGCTGGTCGCACACGCAATAATAGTAATATAATTATTATTTTCGTCCTTATCCCTATGGGGTATCAGCTAAATACCTTTAGTATATACTTTAATCCTATTGGCAATAATATGTAGGTAGAAGTATTGTATGTGGTGTAAATAAATATAGATCCAATAAACCAGTTTTTATCTCAGGATTCCCCGGAACCGCAAAATTAATTTTTTTCTTGTATATTTTATCGTTAAATTTGTTCTTTCCTTTTTTTTTTTAGTCTTGTGTAATATCGGCGGTGGAGCTAGCATGGAGGCAGCCGACATCATACCCGTTCTTCAAGAACGCGTCGCTACCATACCCGGAGGACGAGACCTGGACGGACGGCCGTTGGTTGTGGTGGTCGTACAGCCGTGGATCAATAGCCACTTGGACACGGCTTTAAGATACTATTCGTCTTTATATAGGTACCTACTCAATATTTTTGTGTATTTGTAGATTATATAAAGTGATTTACCAAGTATGCTCGTTCCATTTTTTTTAATTAGTTTCTTACTTACTACTTAAAAAATTTTCTGTGGTAATAAAAACTTCTGTTTTTTAAATCAGAACTCCCCTACTGTTTTTACTTTAAATTATTTAATGAATAATTTTATTGAAAAAATGTTATGCGAAATTGCATAATTTAAAATTTAGACGAATGTTTCTCAATTATTGAAATGTTTATAGTAAGGATAACAATCTTTAAAAATAATTAAATCGTTTTAAAAATTTCATTAAATGAATATTAATATCACTAAAATTTTAAATTCACAAAGTCCAAGAACTTAAAAAAGTACTCGTTCAAATGTTTATTTTAATATCTCTACATTTTAAGAAAAAATATCTTTTTTAAACAGAGTTGAGGGTGACTATAATTGATTATATTTTCTGTTTTTTCTTCTTACCGACATGGGCAAACAGAAAGTCACGGTGTGTGGTTCACAGAAAATGTGTAATATATTATCATGTATGCAATTGATTAAAAATATTTTAATGATAGGTATATTAATTTTATTAAATTATTTTTTTTTCAAATAAAACTGTTTAAAAGACAAACAAACATTTAAGTACTATTTTAAATAATTGATATTTTCTTACAATTTATTATGTTGAAAAGCCGTGCTATTTTAAGGTATACCAGGCAGAGCCCATAAAAAAATTAATCTACTTTCCTTCACATTGCCATAATATTCCTTCGTCGATAGACATGGTATGAAATATAAAAAAGCCATACAGAATGTACTGCACCCGAAGGCTACAGAAACCAGGTATTGACCACTTATTTTACCTTTTTCCTCCCATGGAAAGACAATGACGTGGGTATTATTATTAAAAATTTATGATTAATCTTATTATCTGAATAACGATTCAAAATTTTAGAAAAGTTCGGATAAAAAAAAAAACTTAATGAGTTTACCTTACCATTTTTTTTTTATAGATTTCCCCTTTTCATAAAGTTGTTTATATAAGGCTTGGGGAAACCGAAAACCATAGGCAGTAACTATTGCAACTACTAAACAAATTTAAAAATTACATCGTTAAACTATTGAAGTATCATATTACTCGTATATTACGTAAATAAGTTTTACGATCGATATTTTATCACTTACTATATTAGTTTTAATTAAGTTGTACGTAAAGTATATAGCTGTATAAATAGTAAATATGTATATAATAACTATCATATTTTTTTTTTTATTACAAAAATAGTATTTAAAAGTTATTTAATTAGATTAATTTGTATTACAGTGTTGTTATTTGTCTTATTAATAACTATATAAATGGAAACTTAATGTTATGGTATAAGTTATAGACAAAAGTATATAATGGTTATTGTCTATTTGACAAAATTGTTGTTGTCTAAATTGCTAAAGATTTTAGTTTGCTCATATTATATTTTGTGCATATTTTATTTATTTCATATAAACTAGGCTAAAAATGTACAAAACATTATCTACTGAATGTGTATTTCTAATATTTGTTCAATACAAATGCTAATTTTTGAATAATTTAGTTTACTTACAAACGACAACCTCATTGTTAAGAGAAAGTTGCTCAATTTTATGGCGACAGTTACACTTGAACATTATCTACCATATTAGCTGCGGGTAAAGGTCACATACTTCCGTAGCGTGTATAATATATTATTATCTATGCAATCTGCTTATTGTAATGATCACTGTCTGTATTACGATTTATCGTATAAACGCTAATGTTTTATGAATACATAAAATAGTTTAAAAACTGATGAGAGGTACCTCCTAATCATAACACACTCACGGTTTTTGGATATAATGTGCTATTGTGTTAAAACTTCTATTCTACACTGAATTTACATACGTATTATCATTGAGTATAATGTAGTACTATATATATATATATATGTAGTCATTGTAAAGATTGTAAAGTGTACCCTTACCAAAGCATAAAATAGTCGTAAATAAAAATCATATTCAAATTAATGAATTTCATTTAAACACTCTTTTAGTCCTTTGATTCATTTATAAAAATCAAAATCATTTAAAAAGAAATATTTAATAGATATAATATAATAAAAAGATAACATAATGTACCTAGTATTTAAATTAAATTGAGTTTGTTCATAAATACATAATCGATTAAATAATAAATAGGTTATCAAGTGACATGTTTGTTACAATACAATAAATTAAATCAATTTATTGTATACTTATTTTACTGCTTCAGTTTTATTGCACTAGATGGTTATTTAATAAAATAATCATAAGATTTGACAGTCATTTCAATTGTTAAAACGTATTAGAACGTTTAAAAATTCATTAATTCATTAATGATGGAACTGCTTTATGATACACGTAAAAGCATGGCTACTAATTCAGAATTAAATTAAAGAGCGCTATAATATTGTATTATATTACAGTTATTATAGAAAATGATTACAGAGGAACAATTTTTTTTCATTATTATTTAAAGCCATAGACTAAACAATAAGAAATAAAGTGAATTTTAAAAAAGTAAAAAATACTTGTTCCATATAATTTAAAATGATTAAAAATGAAAATAAATGAGTAGGCACTGAAAAAAATCAGGTGATAAAACAAGATTAATATAGATGCTCTATGTTTAAGACACTTATACGTTTTACTAAGTTTATAGTATGACTTTAAAATATGTACCTACTAAAAAATGAACACAAATCTCCGTTGAATTATAATTTTAGATTAAGTTAAATCATTTTTTGCGTAGGTCGCTGAATCATTTTTAAGCCTTGGAGAGAAAGCCGTTTTTTTTGTTATTACTTGTGTGTTTCATAAAACATTACTATATTTTTCACGTCAAAAGAGGAGACATTTTGATAACTTATTTTTTTTTTAAATATGTATAATACAATAACAAAACACTGAGAATAAATACGATGTAGGTATAAATTTTGTATAAAATTGTGTACATATATATATATATATATATATATATACAATACAACTATACCAGTCTTAAATATTAAATGTTAATAAATTAACCTTCAACATATAATATAGCATACATGGTATCATAATCATTTAAAATTATATAATTTCAATACGTACATTTTATTAATATTTTTCACCTTATCAGAATAAATCTGTTGGAAACAACGAATAATAAAATATTATAACAGTATTAGGTACCTAGGTACAGCATCATCATTATTTTAACTTGATATTTCCGCATCAATTAGTATACGATATTCTAAATCATTAAATGGTTAAAATGTGCTCAGAATTAAAAAAACCTGTCTTACTAAATTGAAAAAAAAAATCGATAGGTTATTTAAAGAGTCTGTTGACCTATAATAAAAATGACGGTAGCCCACCTGGCGAGTAAACAACAAACACTTTTTAGTTTTTTTGTTTTAAATTTTTACAATTTAAATGTATGAATATATGTATAATAGATTTTTTATATAGCTTTAATACTATTTTAATTTTGATTATTATGTATGCAATAACCTTTTATAATGTTATTATAATTTTCAAGTCATTAAACGACGCACCTTTATGAAAAAAGAAAATTAATTTTAATTATTACCACTTTAAATTATTTAAAAGAATAATAATTATTTTTTTAAACATTTGTTTTTATTATGATTCCTTTAGAACGCGATAATTTTTAATCATAATAATGGACGAAGCTGAAAACAAAACTGTGATTGTTTTTTTTTGTTATTCTGATGTACCTGTAGTTTATTTGTTTAAATATTATATAACTTATATAAGCTTGAATAAATTATAACACATTAAGTTCAGTGATGTATAACTATAGAACATACCAGTTAAGTTAAAAACAATGTCAACATTTTAAATTTTTAATAAAATATTAAAAATATAAACCACTATGGGATTTACAATAAACTATTATAAAGAAAATAAAAAAATTAAAATTAAATTGCATTAGGTACCTAATTAGTTTCATTTTTAAATTTAAATTTTAAAATTAAAATGTTAACATATTATTATCATCAGATTTATTTGTAAAAAACTTGTATGATTGATATTTTTAATTTGATTATTATAATTTTTATCTAAGTATAATATTATAATTATAGTCCAGAAACGAGACAGACTGGATTGTGCGTTGTGCTCGATGCTCAACGAAGTACATGGAAAACAACCAAAAGCGTCATGCACAAAGTTTTTGAAATATTAGACGTGAATATCGGAGCAATGTTAATTGTGAGATTGGACGTGTTTTGGGATAAACAACGTGTAGAAAATTGTACGAAGTCTAGGACTGAAGGAGAAGTATGTGTATAAAATAATTAATTTAAGGCTCTTAGTACCTATTTATTTATTGCCGGAATCGTAGATTATTGTTATTACTGAACACGTAACTTTTTCTGTAGCCAATTTTTGTGCCATTGTCCAGAATCCACAAGTACATATCGCAAGATCAATTACCCACCGATTTAGGCGGATCTTGGACTTATAACCACGAGCAATGGATACACAATCGTGTGGTAAGTATCTTTTTAATATAGAAAATAGGATTTTTCGCTATTATACGTTTTGGTCAAATGCATTTTTTAGAAGTTTGTTTTAGAAAAATAAGATTTTGAAATAAAAAAGTTGTAAAAAAGTATATTTTAGTCTACAATTTTAGAAAATTTATATTTTAGAGTACAAAAGTCTCAGAACACATAATAAGTTATAGATTTAATTATGTTTCAGTATATATAACTTGGTAAATTTTCACGCAATTTTCAAAATGGTATTATTATATAAATCATAAATATTCAATAAAGTAAGATAAAATAGAAAGAATAAGAATAATGTAAAGCCAAACATAAAAAACTGCCTTCGCTATAATTTAAATTGTTAATTATTTAGATTATTTTATAAGTTTATTAATTGTAGAAATACAACTACAAAAAAAGCATACTACATAAATTACAAATTTTATAGAAAAATCGATTATATTGTGAATTAAAATTAAAAAAAAATAATTAATAAACCTATTTGCTATAGGTACTCACTACTCAATATACATTATCTACATAATATTTAAAACTTGTTTTTATAAACAGGTTAATGATTATTTCAGTAAATACTTATTATTTATTAACTCAAATAGTATTAAAGTTTTGATAAATATTTTTTATGATTTGGTTACTACCAATCAAAATTGTCAAAAAAAAATTATTATTTTTGCGATTTTTATAACTTTTTAAGTTTTTTTTGTTTACATTTAAAAAAGATACATTTTAAGTTTCTTATTCTAATTTTGTTTAAGAATTTCCATAAATAAAATTAGGTATACATATTATATTTATAACAATAATAATTAATAACCTAACTAAACCATTAGTCAATTAGCTAATGACATTTCTAAAATTTGATGTTCAAAAATTATGGCTTTCAAAAAAACTCATCAATAGTACGCTATTAAGTGCATTTTATTCTTGATAATTTTTTTTTATTGATCTTACTGTGTTTAACCACATTTTACCATCTGTTGTCTTTTACAGCGAGTTGAAGAGTTTATCAAAAGTTCAGAGATCGCCGTGTCTGATATGGAGAAACTGAGACAGCACTTGATTAACAATCAGGATTTGCTCAAGCACAGTACTGCTGACATCGTGTTGACCGTGTCTGGTGAAAAGTATAACGTCGTCATCGAACACGTGAAAAAGGTATCTCAGTCCGGCCAGATGGTATGTCAGCGAATCGACAAAATGTACGCGGATCAAGGACAACCGTTTCCTCAGGACGTTTTGGATACCAAAGAAGCGCTCGACCGGTATATGAGGATTGTCCACGATAAAATGATGGTGATCGTTGATTGTTGGAACGGCGTACAGAAAAAAGTCGACTGTATTAAGGTATTTTTTAAACCGTTTTTTTGATCAGACCACGCCTCTCTGATTTGCACTTATACCTTTGTTATAATATAGGAAATGCGATATTTGGAACAAGGCATAAAACATGTTGTAAATTGGATTCTCGGGCCGGGTGAAGAGATGTTGAACGGCAAACAACAAGTAGGCTATGATATTGTCTCGGCGGAAGAGTACAAAAGAAATCACGAAGCGTTTGAACTCCAGTGCCGGGTAATTTTATTTTTTTCATTTGATAAACGAAACTTGACGGTTAAATCGGCTTGACAACACTTCTTTTCAAAAATAAAAATAAGCACTTCTATATAAAATGTAGATCACACGAATATTTTATTTATTATCTTTTTACGATTTGAAACGTTTCAAGTAATATTCAATTTATTTATTTTTTTATATACCCGTCTAGATTTAATTTACATATTAACAATTTTAACTTTTATTGCATTAAAAAATCCATAAACATAATATCAAACTAATGAATTGAATCAATATAAGGTTATTAAAAAAAGAATGAGTAACTGTATTATAAGAGGAATACCATAGTATTTTAAGAGACAATAGTTCTTTCCTCTGGATCTTATCTGGCTTAAGTAGTATTTATATTGAATAATGAATAATATATAATATTGTAATACGAATATATTTTATTGTTTGTAAACAGGACACCTATGGACATTATGCTGAACTACTGCACAAAATCAATAACCTTCCTAACTCAAACTCCCAATGCTATAAAGACCTATTGGCACAACGGGATTTCATGGATTTTGTGTGCCGAAGTTTTGCTACACGATTAGAAAGAAGGAGAAATTTGCTAATTACGTCCGCTCGATTTTTTCGATTGGTTGCAGAGGTATCGTATATATTACATTATGTTATGTGCTGTTTTATTTTTAAAATTTTATTCATTATACTATAAAATTTTATACAAATTTGCTTAGTATTTTCAAACTACAAGTGATGTTTACGAAACTTTGGTGATGGGTACTGACATTGAAGCCTTAGATTCAGCTGATAATACCTTATTACAGTTAAAACAACAACAAGAGAATATTGGTAAATAAAATATATTATAAAGATTTGTCGCAAAATGATAGAATTATTGAATTTTATATGTATTGTGTATTATATACATTGTTTAGAACAAATCGAAAGAGATTTAGTAAAAGAAGGTGAAAAGTTATCTGACATGTTATCGATGCCAGTCAAAAATGCCATGGGTGTCGTATTAAATGTTGATTATGAAGCGGACATAGTAAATGTATCTGAAATATTAGAAATGACTAAGGCTAGGTGTCAGTTATTTTGTGATAGTGTGGAACTGCAGCGATTGACGTTACAACAGGTTTCATATGTACTAAACTACGAAACAGACGCTTCACAAGTAAGTTCTAAATAGATTTATAACTTATTATACCTATAATAGTATCCTATATAACGAAAAATAAATCCTTAAATTATACATTAAAACTTACAATAATAATATATTTTAAATCAATTATTATAAGAAGTAACAAACGTGTAATTTAATTGTTTTTAACTATCAGAGTATTTTGTATAGGTACAACATTTAAATATAAACAAAATATTTGGACATTTAGTACAACTTAAAGTTTTTTTTTTTTTTTATCATTGTTAGTTAACACAAAATAAAAATAATTAATAATAATAATAATAATAATAATTAAAAAATAATAATAATAATAATAATAATTATAATAAAAAAAAAAAATTAATAATAATTTAATTTATTGATTTTTTTATTTAATTTTTATTAATTATTAATTATTATGTTAATAATTTGTACTTTTTTATTAATTGTAAACATTTTAACATGTACAAGTACATTATTTAATTCGATAATTTGTAGGCAATCCAATGGTTAGAAGACTTGTACCACGTTCTGCTCAAATCACACTGTCACGTAGGATCCAATGCAGAAGAAATTCAAGCTCAAAAAGAAGAACACCAAGCGTTTCAAGAAACCGCAAAAGTAATTCATCATCCAGAAAAAAAACTACCGGTCGAGTCTCGCTTGAATAATATTACACCAGTTTTATTTGTGTAGGGTACGTATGATTACGGTTGTCAGTTGCTGAACGCTGCTCTAGCCCTACGACAATCCTGTAAATTGACCGAAACGAGAAATTCTACACTTGCCAATAGCCTATGGCAGTCTTGGAAACAACTCGACGATATCAGCCAAGAGCAATTGACACGGTTACGGGTGTCTACCGTTTACCACAGAAACGTCGATAAGGTAAAAAAAAGTTAAAAATCCATGGGATAGAAATATGATATTGATATTAATATCGAAATTAATAAAATATTTTTGTGCCTATACAGTAATATCGATGGCTCATGGCTATATACATAATCATATGATTGTTAATTGAATCATTATTATCATTATTATTTATTATTATAAATATATATATATATGTTTTTTTAGTACTGCGTACAACTCAGAGAGTTAATGGAAACCGTGCAAACCATTCAAGACGAGAACAACAACAACACCAGTAAACACAAAGGTCGATTGCGCAAATGTTTAGTATCACGGGAGAAAATTCTGTTGGAAGTCGGTAGATCCGTTCGTCTTGGCCGCATGCTCAAAACTAGACTCCGCGAGCCTCTTTGCGTTCAACAAAAGTAATAAATATAAAAATATAAAAAAAAAACATTGACGCATTTAATGTGTTTATTTGTTGTCGTTTATCATACACTATCTGATGATAATGTGTCGTTTTTTAGGAACGAAGACGTACGGTACCTCAACGAGAGTGCGGTGGATTCGGTTTGTCAGAAATTGTCCATAGTCACTGAGCTAGCCGAACAATTGGACTTCACCCTATCCGGGTTAGCACAGAGTACGGTTACGCACGTGCTAGACGATTCCAGCGGTAACGTCACACAGGTAAATTCATAAATATTTATGAATATATTTTTTAATATCTATAATCGCCACTCGGTTATACGGTATATACACTTATCAAACCACCCATCACGTCAACAATCTATCACCAGGTCATAAATCTGCAATTCTTTGAAATTTTGTGGATTTCATATAATTTCCAAAAAAAAATAAAAAATATTAATAATTTTTATACATTATCATTTAGTTAGGAACTGCTATAATATGGCTTTTAAACCTTCATTGATTAAGTTATGAACCATTATAAAAATATACAATGACGTGTAATGGTCAATAATTATGATAATTAATAATTAAAATTCGAATCTGTTGGTGCTGCAGGAGTGGTACGTGAATCTGAACAAAGTGTCTGATAGAAATAATAAGAACTGCTCGACGGAGATGAAAATGGAAGAGAACATCCAAAGCGGTAGTAGCCGTTCGGACGCCGAAGACTTTGTGACGGCTTCTGACTGTACCGGTACGCCACCTTCCAGGTCATCTTCGTCGTACCACACACCGTCCGAGGGCGAAGCAACTTCTAACTCACCGTGGTGGGAACTCGACACCATAATTGATGCTGATACGACAATGGACAGTTCCAAGTGTCTGCAATTAACGGATGAATCTCAACAGGTAAACAATTGATTTTTTTTAAATGTTAATTTAATTATCATTCTTATTATACTTCGTAGTTTTATAAACAATCATTTAATCCATAATTTATATGTTTTTAATTTTATAATCATAAACGGAATAGTATTCTAAAAATGTATAGAATTCCTAAGTATCGATTATTGAATTAAAATATACATATATTTTGTAATAAGCTTCGAAAATATATATCAGATCGTGAACTACCACAACTTTAGCTATTTGTCATATCACTCCACTCATTTTAATTTTGAATTCCAAATATTTTTAATCATAAGGTTATTTCCGTAGAAATAGACAATCACTACACAATAATGTATTTAACAATATAATAATATATAATTTAACTTTACTGCAAACTACTATCATGAAGCTTGTGGTTTAACCGATATTTGATTTTTGAACAAATTAAAAAACTAATAAAACTAAATGTGTTCTAGTTTATGGTTATTATAAGTATCAAAATTCTATTCGATTTTTTTTTATTATTTAACGTTTTAAGAACTTTTTCCTTGTCCTGGTCGAACATTAATACAAATGCTAAATGTATTTTAATTTGTAGGATATCGAAGTGAAAATCGAATTGGAAGAAAACGAGTTAGATTCAGCGAACGCAAGTGATTTGCAGCTAAATACCGACGACGTTGTAGTCACAGAGAAGCTTCCACCAATTTTGAACGAACAAGTTAGCAGCGACGCGATAGACGAAGGAATTATTATTTTACAAAGTCCCGAATATGAACAGGAAACCAATAATAATGATTGTACGTTTTATAAACAGAATTTAGCGAAACAAGCATTAGCCGGAGTGTTTTAGGTATACCTATTTAAAAACTGTAAATTGATTTATGTTCTAATTTTATTTATACAACGCACTTATGCACCAACAAGACTGGTTCACGAGACAAGCGTCTTATTTTTAATTATGTTTAGGACGCAAATATTATTATTATTTTTTATATTTTTTTTTGTTATTAGTTTATTACATTAACTAAGGTATTAAATTATTTTATCACCAAAATACGTTAATTTTAATAAACCTATGTACAGGTATATTGGTATATACCTACTATCGTTTATTTTAATTTTAGTCAATTGATTAATATTTATTTTTATTTATCGTAAGCATTTGTATTTATTATTATTATTTCAATAAATCAAATTTGTGTTGAACTAATAAACTTTAATTGAAGTTTATATAGTGTAAAATCTAAAGCCGTTAATATAACAATTAACAGCATATTTCGAGCTTATAATATTTTTTGACGAAACGAATGTTCTACACATACACAAAGCAAATCTGTGCATGACATAAACGGTTTATATTTATATATTAAATATATAGCTTAATTATATTTATTTATTTTAACAATTTAAAATTTAAGTAAAGAACAGGAAACTATAGAAACTATGACTATAAAAACGCTTAAACTAGACCACAATATACATTATACACTGATGGTCGGCATAACTGAAAGAAATTTCTATGAAACTTTTTTCTGTTAAATATTGTCGTTTTATAAAAATATATGTATACTTTATATTATAGCAAAAGTCCGCCCATCACCCGATGAAACAGTGCCAAAATTATTTATTTTAAACTCTTATCACCAAAATAGCGTACATAACATAAATATCATAAGAATATCTCCGTCGTATACATTGTAATATAATCGCTATAAGCAAATTTTTAAATTTAAGTACATCCATGAGTGCCGAAAAATATGTTATTACGTTTAAATTTTATAATAGGTCGATTCACTTCACATTTACTTTAACATTAAATATAACAAGGGATAATAGAAAATTGGATCTAATGAATGCATATTTGCAACGTTGTAGTTTTATTAAATTTTTTTTTGTTTATCAACCTAACCTAGTCATATACAACACACGCGAGTTTGACGTCTTCTCAATAAAAATTATTAAACTAATTAGTGCACCAAAATAAACGATAAATTTTAATCTATCATATTTTATAGAACAATATAATTTTTGTAATAGTTCTACATTATTTTAAGTCTATATGGATAGATTTATACAATATATCTTGATAATTGGTAAGTATATATAGTTCTACAGAAACAAAAATCAACGCGAAATAACTCGAGAAAACTTCAACGAAACAATAATAGTGTTAGTGACTGCATATCTAATTTGCGAACTAAATCTGTGTAATACGTCTGCAAACGATTAACCTATATACCTATTATCATATCATACCAGCCGGACAGTCGGCAGTCATCGTCAACAATAAAGCGAAACATTTTTCAATCGCACAACACAGTGACTGCGAAGTGCAGCGACATCCATCAGTATTGGTATGCGACGGGGTCAGACGTGGTCGTGTTTGCCCGTCGCGCGAAAAGTCACGTAAAGGATAATCGAAAAACGTCGACATGGCCAGCTGGCACGCCGACAGCCGACAGCTGTCTGAGCAGCGGCCGAGTGTCGCACGCGCAGGGTATTGCGGCAGCGTTCGCGTACCGCTAGTGTCTCGAAAAACGCGCCGACCCCGAGTAACCATCTAGCACATCGACGTCTTTGTTGACGGCCTTCAGCGCGCAGTACGACCGCACGTGACATTGTTTGTGTCGAATGACGTCTTCCAACGGCACGTGCCCACGTTTCGGACGTGTGCGAGACGATCCTCTGCACCAATACGGCACCGCCGCCGACCGTCGTCCTCGACAGCCACGATCGTAGCACGTTGACGGCTACGACCGCAGCAGTGGACACGCGCACTGCGTTTGATGCCGGCGAATATGACAGCGTAATTTTCGAAGAGCATCGACGTGACGTTCGTTAGAAAAAAATTTCAAATGTTGTTTATAATAAATGTATTTAATTTAACAACGGATAATCACCGGGTCAGTCTCCAACCGAACATCAGTTAAACAGTTTGCGTCGTTGGCAAAGGTAATTTTTACAATCAAACACGTAGAAGTATTAAGTATTTTTAACACGCTGTAAAAGCTTACGCTTAGGCATGACCGGCCATGATGGCACATTCGAAACAGTTTGAGTCGTCGGTGAAGAAGATATTACAACCAAATTCGTAGAAGTATCCACAACACTTTGAAAAGATTTAGGCTCAGGCTTGACTGGCCATGATTGCACAATGGAAACAGGTTGGTTTCGTCAATGAAGGCGATTTTACAACCAAACTCGTAGAAGTATTAATAGTATTTGTAACACGCTGTAAAAGCTTACGCTTAGGCATGACCGACCTTGATGGCACATTCGAAACAGTTGGCGTCGTTGACGAAGGTAATTTTACCATTAAACTTGTAGAAGTATCCGCAACACGTCGTAAAGGATTAGACGTGACAAGACACGATGACACAGTAAAAGCTGGATGTGGAGGCGTCTCATCACGAGTAAAATATTTTGAAGGCATTAATATAATAGTCTATATGGTTGACAATAGCAACAACACATTTTTATTAATTTACTTATTTAATTAGTTATCAACACTGTCACTCGAACAAAGAGAATACATAAAATGATACACAATTTACAACAGAAAAACTGCGTGAGGTGGAAAAAGTATAAACATGATAACAGGAGAGTAATTTCACTAGTTTCTATTGTTTCTAATATACATTATCTGTCTCACGAACGTACACTTAATTTTATTCAAGCGACACGATACAACGGCAAAAAAATTAACGAAATGAATGAAATCGATAATGAGATCTGGTCGACTGTCGCACACACTCGTGTGCTTTGCGGGAACGACACGGTGACAGGGAAAGAGCGCTGTCTGGAGTTGGGTAATTAGTCCTCCTCGCGCGTTTTCCAATCGTCGACGGCGTGTCGAGATGGGCGGGCGTCGCCGTCGCTTAAACTCAGGCGAGGATGCCCAAAACACTCTCGTCGGCTTTTAGACGTCGGTGGGACGGCGACTATAACGTTACGGGCGAGTCGGTTGGAATAAAAACGTCAGCAGTGCCGTGGCGGTGGTTTCCGTGCACAGTGCGAGCGCGCGGCATCCGCGGCGACCGAATACAGAAATGCCGGACGGCACGTTTTTCAAGACTTAAAACTTTTTATTACTATGTATATAATTATTTGTTTATTTATTTATATTTTATTCATTTATTTATTTGTGTGTATAGGACACATAGACATTTCGAATTATTTTTTCAAATTAGTTTGAAATGAATTATTCCACGTATCTTTTTGCACCGGTCTACGGTGGGTATATCGGTATTGACTTAAATTAATAACAACTATAAAGATTAAAGAATGTATGTGATTTGTTTTTTACAACAAATTGTTAAATTATGTGGTACAATATTTAAAAAAATAATTATATTTATAAATAACTTATAATTAAATTATTTATTTATTCATATAAAAAGCATTCACGAGGAAAGCATCCAAAAAACCACACTGGAAAAGCACACTGATCATCAGTGAAATTCAATTTTCAGTATACCTAAACCTAAGTATTTTATTTTTTTCTAATACTAAAAACTTAATACTATGTTTAATAAGAACTATATAGCATATCATAACTAAGTTTATCCCAGTAACTAATAGTCTATATATGTATACTCCATAATATACATCCATTAAATTAACTGAAAAAGAAGTTAACGCTATTCATTATTACTTATGATAGTATAATTACTTGTGTTTTGTATATAATATTGATGTTGAACAACACCTTTAATCTACCAACCTAATAACAGCTAATAAGTAATAACTAAAGATTAATAAATAAGACAAGACTATAATGTTATTAGTGTATACAAAATTATATTTAATTAAAATATTGTGTAATACATATATGTAAAAAATAAAAATAAAACTATAAGCATCATTGTTGTTTATTTAAGACTGTAAAGAAGAAAAAAAATAATTTTTTCTTAAAAAAAATTTACATATATTTCATGATTTTCATGTAATAATTGTGCTATTTTTATAAATAGAACTCAAGGAATAACTATTTCAAAAACATTGTTGTTATGAGTTAAAAGTTAAACATATGATAATAATCTAAGGTATGTGATTAATAGGGAATTGATCAAAAACAACGATCGAGACAGTGAAGTTATGTTTCAGAATTATTAGTATACCTGCATGAGATGTTGCCTTTGACCGTAATCGAATTTGCAGATTACGGTATTATTCATTCGCGCGCGCGAGTGTGTGTGTGTGCACTGTGCATAGTATTGTGTGTCATTATTATTGTACCTATTAAATAATTTGTGTTTGTACAGCTGTAAAAATACTATTCTATTCATTTTCTTAAATCTAAAATAATTTAATCAATAATAGTATATTTTTGTTTATTTATGTTTATACAGCTGAAAGATACTATTCTATTTATATTCTTAAAGCTAAAGGTAATTAAATAAATGATAAGTAATAATATATTATAAGAATATGTATATCATTAGTCATTACATTGTGTAATAAAATATTTTTATAAAAAATTAAATGGATTTTACTCTCTTTTATAGAAGATATTAAGTGAGTTACTGAAATAATAAATATGTTAAATTTTTATTTAAAGATTTAATAAAATTATATTAATCGTAGACGATCTATCAGTCTAGCATATTTTATTTAAATTTTTGTAAGTAATTAATTTTTCTGTTATAAATATCACAAGTAGAATATATTTTTTTAAATATGCATACTTGCAATTTTTGAATCTTAAAAATATTAGTAAGGATGGAACATGGAACAATAATATTATTATATAGTTTTTTACAATCCGGTCTGTGTTTTGCCAATTTACTATATTTAACATTATATCACTTTATAACTGTATCACTATATAACTTTACTACATTATTGAAA